CTAAGTGAAGGTGTTTCACTACTACTACTACTACTACTACTACTACTACTACTACTATTATTATCATCATCAACCATTAAACTAACTCATCTTTCTCTCTCTACAGGTAAGCTGGTAGAGTCTTTGGTTACCATGACAACTGGTGAGTAAACAAAAGGGCCTAACCCTCAACCACAACTTAAAACATTGATCCAGAATCTTTATTGATGTTTGTTATCAATATTTTGGTGGGATTTTTTTTTATTGTAAGTTAGTGACGTTAGGAAGTTATTTATTGTTTATATGGGTGTATAACTGTCTATCTATCTATTAATTTGTCTATCTATCTATCTATCTGTCTATCTATCTATCTATCTATCTATCTCTTATTAAAATAGACTATATTTCATCCAGTGTCAAATATAACAACACAAGTCGTTTAATTACGTTTTAAAAAAGTATATCATAAAATATAATTGATAAAGAAACTGATGTCTTTTCAATTTTATAAACGTAATTATATAATTTTTAATATAAATAATAACTTAAGGAGTAGTGAGATCTTCTTAAGTTAGACCTTAAATAAAGAAAATGGGAAAATAAGAAAAACGTTCAGTGTTCCTGTTTCGTTAGGGAGAACTGTATTCTGTTCAGTCTATATGTCTGTCCTGTTGTGTTGGTTAGGGTCGTAAGTAAACATGAAAGGAAATATTTATGTTTATCATAATGTAAAAAAAAGAAATATGTTATAAACGGGTGGGGACCCACATTGGTGATTTTTTGTTATTTGAATATTTCGTTTAAAATCTTTAGGATATTGTATGGTTATTATTTTTATTATTATATTATTATTATTATTATTATTATTATTATTATTATTATTATTAGTATTATTATTATTATTATTATTATTATTTTTATTATTATTATTATTATTATTATTATTATTATTATTATTATTATAGTATTATTAGTATTATTATTATTTTTTGTATTATTATTACTTGGACTGTCTTTAGGCGCTGTGGCACTGCTATAACCCTGCTGTACTTAACCCTATGGCACTGTACATGTGTGTCACTGCTCTAATTAACATGGCACTGATGACGTCATGCTGGCACTTGTATCTGTGGATAGTGTAAACATCTACCCTAGTGTGTGTGTGTGTGTGTGTGTGTGTGTGTGTGTGTGTGTGTGTGTGTGTGTGTGTGTGTGTGTGTGTGTGTGTGTGTTGACTCAGAGCTAGTAAGATTGAGGCTTGATTATTATTATTATTATTATTATTATTTTATATTATTATTAGTCATAGTAATTTCCTCCTCCCTCCTTCCTCCTTCTCTCCCTCCTTCCCTCCTTCCCTCCCTCCTCTTTCACATTGTCAGGTACTCTCTCTCTCTCTCTCCTCTCTCTCTCCCCTCCCTCTCTCAAGGTCACTGTCGTTAATTTTTATCTATTTATTATTATTACTATTATTATTATTATTATTATTATTATATTATTATTATTATTATTATTATTATTAATATATTCCCACACAACACATGTTACCCAGATCCTGTTTCTTTTAACTCCTCTATATATAAGCAGCACCACGCCACCTACACCCCGTTTCTATGAGCTATTTCCGGTATAACTATAATTAATCTTCTATACCTGATCTATAGTTCTTAGACTCACCTGAAGATTAATCACCCTCGTTTGGTTAGGTTAGGTTAGGTTTTTGGTTAGGGTAGGTTGGGCTTTGGTTAGGTTAGGTTAGGTTTTTGCTAGGTTAGGTTAGTTTTGGGTAGGGTAGATTTACTTTGGTTGGGTTTGGTTATGTTAGGTTTGGTTAGGTCTGTATGTATGTATGTATGTATGTATGTATGTATGTATGTATGTGGTCAAATTTATACACACATACACCAAAGAATTATTCATATATACATACAATACATAAACAAATAAATACGTTTTTATTACGTCTATGTATACTGGTAGAGAATACAGGAACTATACATAAATATATACATAATTTGTATATCCATAGTAGTGCCAATTATACAGATATACATATACTCTCTTGTACTAGATTGATTGTGTCGTTAATAAGAATCATACAGTAATATGATGTATACATTTTATACAGTAATAAACATCTTAGTAGTGACCTGAATACACACATACAGTACACACACTCATACACACACACAATTGAACTAATACTTACTCACACACACACAACACACACAACACACACACACGCACACACACGCATTTGTATAAGACGGGCAGGCAAGCAGGCAATGTCTTTAGCGTATGAGATGCAAGCGTCCGAGCCAATAATGCGTCGAGCGCTTTCTGGCAGATGTGATTGACCGAGTCGCTTTTCTCTTGTTAATTTTTCCTTTATTTACACTTAATATCTAATTAATTTCACATTTACAAATCCCTACTCTTGTAAATCATCCTAGGGTATTTAATTCGATGGCAAAGATGTATTTACAAGGTTAGATTGTAAATGGATTGTAAATTATGTCAAATTGACTTTCTGACGAGCGGGCAACACGGAGCGAGAGAGGTTGCCAACTAGGAAAATCCCGAGGGGGGTTTGTTTAGTGATGCTATAGGCAGAGTCAAGTGCTGTTTACACTGATAGTTCCCACGCCTATACCCTCGTGCCTATAACCTAAGAGTGCCAGGTAGTAGTGGTATGCGTGCCATAGGACAGTGCCAAGGGTCTATTAGTGGCAGAAATGATGCCAGTGTAGCCATCGAGGAAGATTGACTTTTTTCTTTTATGAAGCATTGGTTGTACGGCCCGGGAACCTATCCATCCATTGGTACAGTGGTGATAGTGGTGATAGTGATGGTACAGTGGTGATAGTGATGGTACAGGGTGGTATAGTGGTGTTACAGTGGTGTTACAGTGGTGGTACAGTGGTGGTAGTGGTGGTACAGTGGTGGTAGTGGTGGTACAGTGGTGGTATAGGTGTTACAGTGGTGTTACAGTGGTAAGCAGTGGTACAGTGGTGATAGTGGTGTTACAGTGGTGTGTTACAGTGGTGGTACAGTGATGTTACAGTGGTGGTAGTGGTGTTACAGTGGTGGTACAGTGGTGTTACAGTGGTGTTACAGTGTGGTGGTACAGTGGTGATGGTGGTGTTACAGTGGTGTTACAGTGGTGGTACAGTGATGTTACAGTGGTGGTAGTGGTGTTACAGTGGTGGTACAGTGGTGTTACAGTGGTGTTACAGTGGTGGTACAGTGGTGTTATAGTGGTGTTACAGTGGTGTTACAGTGGTGATAGTGGTGTTACAGTGGTGGTACAGTGATGTTACAGTGGTGATAGTGATGGTACAGTGATGGTACAGTGGTGTTACAGTGGTGATAATAACGATGATGATAAATTGTTGATATGTGGATGTATACACGAATACGTAACGTGAGGTATTGATACACACACACACACACACATGAAAGCATAGATGTACACACACACACATACAGTTAGGTATTGACGCACACACACACACACACACACACACACACACACACACACACACACACACATTAACAAACACACACACACATGAAGCATAGAGGTCACACACACGTATACACAGTTGAAGATGTTGCTGCACACACACACACACACACATATCAACAAACACACACACACACACACACACACACACACACACACACACACACACACACACACACACACACACACACACACACACACACACACACACACACACATGACCTTGCACTTGACTACAGTGTTGCCACATCTTACCCTAATTATTAACTAACGGTACAACACTAATTACCTCTAATTAGTCCCTAAAAATACCTTATAATTATACATAATCCCTAAGAATCCCGTATAATCCATCTAATTATCACCTAAGAGATTATCACCCCTATAATTGAACAGCTCATATATGTTAGTTGTCTCAAGGTGAATAAGTGGTAATTCCTTGAAGATCGAGTTATTACTTGAGCTTGCAGGTGGAGGAGGAGGTGTTGGAGGAGACTTAAGAGGGGTCTTGAAGGGAGAGGCACGAGTGTGAGCTCTGTAAGTGTGTGTGTGTGTGTGTGTGTGTGTGTGTGTGTGTGTGTGTGTGTGTGTGTGTGTGTATGTGTGTGTGTGTTGTTGTGTCTGCGTGTGTGTGTGTGTGTGGTGTGTGTGTGTGTGTGTGTGTGTGTGTGTGTGTGTGTCGTGCGTGTGTGTGTGTGTGTGTGTGTGTGTGTGTGTGTGTGTGACCATCCATTATCATTATCATCATCGTATTATTATTATTATTATTATTATTATTATTATTATTATTATTATTATTATTATTATTATTATTATTATTATTAACTAAATTATTATTATTATTATTATTAACTAAATTATTTCTTACCAGATAAAAATATATTACAAATTATGAAAAAATACCAAATTAAAATAAATAAAAACTCCCATAAAACGAGACAAAAAAACGATAAATAATACATAGTGAAACAGAGAAGAAAATACAATAAAGGAGAAAGAGGAATAATTGATAAAGAAAGACTAAGAAAATTGGTTAACGAAGGAAAAATAATAGAATTGGAATAGACGAATTGGTTAAGTAAAGAGACACAGAAAGTTTGAAGGAGTTTTGATAAGTGATTACGAACGAGAATAAGAGGAAACTAGGATAATAAATATGGGAATAATAGAGTGAATGGAAATAAACTTGTAAATAATGATAACAAATTGAAATATACAGATATAAACAACAAGAAACGTTTAATTATTTGTGAAGGAATAGACAAATGGAAAGATATATAGAAAAGCATTGATAAATTAGACGAAAAAATAAATATTGATGGAAATTGAATAATGTTTTAAATATGGTTTTGTTGATACGGTGGAAAAACCCGTTCAGAACATGTTACGGCTGGGGTCAACTAAGGTCACTTGTGGTTAGTGGTGTGAGGTCAATGTATGGCACCATGAGGATGACCTTGTGGCATCGTTTGACCTGCTGAGTCAGGTCCGAAGG